AACATGCTATGAGGCACAAAGCATGTAGGTTTTTTCTGAGCAGAGCAGATAAATTAAACAGCCTTTTTTAAGCCTTCATGCAGAATGAAAGTCCAATACAATACCAGAAATAGATTTTTTTGTATATATCTACAAATCAAAATACAAAAGAATCCTGATCTGCAACCTAGTTAGGGCTAAGAGTAAAACTACAACGGCTAAGAAACATTACCTGCTGTCAAAACCAGGCGGATCTGGTCTTTCTGCTCTGTCAAATAGTCCTGAAATGCGAAAGGGGAAATATAAGGGGTAAGATAAGCAGATAGGACATCAGAAGGACAGGAGAAAGGATGCTTATTTAGAATAAACTGAGAAGATCTGACATTAAGAATGTGTGTTTGGCAAAGAAATAAAGCAAAAATGCAACCTTTTGTTTTGTTCTTCGAGGGGTGTCCGCATCAATGTATATCAGATCCTGCTCCTGCCACACACAAACACACAGCTTTAGGATAAATATAAACAAAATGCTTACCCTAGGTTGCTAGCACAATGACACATATTTACTGAGAACCTAAAGGCAAACTGGTTTAGGGAAAGCTTCTCTTGTACACATTGAGCACATTGTGTCCCTACTGCTAAATAAGTGTGTCTTACTGAAGGTCTAAAACAGCCTGCTTATCTTACATAGACTAAAACCACAGCATAGAATACCAAGCATTGCCAATAAGTACTGGTTTGGCAAACCGTGTGCTGCTCTTTAAACTTTGAAATTATTGTAACTAGATTAATGTAATTTTGTATAATTTGCTTGATTAGATAGTCAATGGTCTGATTCAGTAAAAGCTGGGGATATAGCAGGGATGTAGTTTTGTAAAAGGTTTACGTCTTCTTTTTCTTCATAAAACGAACTAGTGTAGTGTTGCATCTGACTGCAGGTGTTCCTTAATGTTTCCATTTATTTAATTACCATTATCTAGGAATAGAAACAAGTGTGTCTCACCTCTGGGAGACACCTGTCCCGTCCGTTTCCCCCGTCCATTCTCCCTCTTCCTTCATTTTCCTACCTTGTCCTCCACTGTGTTATATTTTGTTACTTTGTTGGTTTCTTTAAAGCGATTGTGAGAGGGATACTACTTTGCAATGTTATCTTTCTCACACACACACACACACACACACACACACACACACACACACACACACACACACACACACCACAAAAGCACATTAGTGACTACATTTGGCAAACTTGTCCAGCTGTCATCAGGTAAAATGTCATTAAGGGATTAGGTCATCACACACACACAAACAGGTATAATTACATAATGGAGTAAACCTTCCAAAATCGGAAATAGCAGTCAGACTGAAATGACCTATGACCTTTTCTTTTCAACTCAGTAATTTATTTCAGACCTGAAAGCACTGTCTGAACATTGTACAATGTCCCTGTGTGTGCTTAAAAAAGTACAATTTGTTGTCAATAGTTCTGTCTCTTTCCTAGATTTTTTTTTTTTTAAAACCATCCCTGGTAACATTGTATTGTGTGCAAATGTCATACTATAATGTCATAATCTCCAAGTATCCCAACAGCCACTAGAGAGCACTAGTGTATAACTCCTCAGGACCATAACATACACATAGCTGGTATGTAGAGGTTAGAAAAGGCAATACCTGTTTTTATTGGGAGACTCAAAGGGAGCTTTCATTTAAAAAGGTGTGATGAGTTAATGACAGATTGATAATAGGAAATTAAACAACATATAACATCCAATTCCAGTAGCATATACAAATGGTAAAGAACTATACTCCAAAAAGATGAATGCAGTTTCACCTTCTTATGAAGCGTAAGACCCCCCCCCCTCCAACAAAAAGAACAATGATCATAATACATTACTCGCATCTGTCTCACATTTGGTGGGCCGGATTTCAAAAAACCTCTCTCTCATGGGAGTGGGTTAAAAGTCAAGTTCAGAAAGCTGAGTGTCATTCAGTCCTTCTTAAATGAAAATAAATCAAACACTTCAACTGAGTAAACATGGGCCCCACAGAAAACTGTTATACTTCTACTCTGAATCCACATGTTAAAACTATTAATCAAGCTAAGCCAAAAAGTAAAGAAACTGAACAAAACAAGGACTGATTGTTCTGTCTGACTGAGGTTTGTTAATACAAACACAATGTGCCAAAACTCACAATTACTTAAGGAGAAAACTGCACTCTGGATGAGCTATTGTGTTTTCTGCACCCAGTGTGTCTAGTGTCCCACTCATGACCCTATCCCTCTGCTTCTCATAGCTTTAAAGTTTAGGGTAAAACAGGATATGAGCCCATGTGTGTATTGTTAGAGACCCACATGAATAAATCATGAAAGGATTCAATGTGTTTGGACTTGAAAAAGATTAGTTATGTTGCCTTTACAGTACCTTGTATGAACCTGAAGGAATAACACATAAAGACACAACGTTCTAATCTAGAGGAAAATGTTAAAGTACAGGTAACAGCAGATTATTATCATGAAACAAAGGTAGGCCTACATTATAATCCAAGGTGAATGTGATGCAAAAAGTGATTGTGATGCGACAAAATAGGATTATGGGAGCACAAATTAAACGTATTATTATTATAACTGTTATTATTATTAAGTTGCAAACCTAGTGTGATGACACAATAGATGATTGTGAACACCATTTATATATTAAGTAGTTTAGTACAGTAAAAGTAGTTATTAACATAAGATTTCTAAACCTTTCATTTTGTTATCATTTTGTAGTTACACTATTTCACATTTCAGATAATATTTGTGATGTGTTTTATTTGGTATCATCTATGAACAATTCCTGGAGCTGGAGCTGCTTCATGTTAATGAACAACTTTTTCTTTTAATTTAGTTAAAAATTAAAACCCCAAAACGTTGTTCCCTTTTTCAGAGACGCCTTTAACAAGGTTGATTCTCATCAGTTGGAGGCAGTGTTCAATTGGAAAGTGGTGATTTGTCTTTTTCAGTTAACACATCAAATATGCTTTCCAATTTGAATAGGAAGCTTAATATGCGTGGCATACTAATGCTCAGTGTTGAGTAAAACTCATGGTCACTGATTGAGATGGTGATTGCATGTTTACGGTGTCAAAGATCTTGAACACAGGTTACAACCTCTGTCAAATTATCAAAAGCAACGGAGAGTAATTAGAATATTCTTTTGATGAAACCATTTTTTAATTGGTACACCCACACGGTGCCGTGCAGAATGCGTACAACCCAGTTTCTGAGGCAGACATCCACCAGATTGGTTCAGACACAGGCAGGGCTCCATAATTACACTCCTCTATTCAGCAGCACTGCCTGTGCGTCAGCACAAACGTCATATTAGAGCTGGGGACAGGACATCGGAGAGCGGGAGAGCAGAGGAGACGAGAGGGAAGACAGGAGAAGAGAGAGAAGATAGAAGAGCAGAAGGGAGGAGAGGAGAGTACCTCAGAGCTGTGGTGTTTCGGGCTGTTCCTGCTCACAGAAAGATGTGCTCTCATTTTCTGTGTCGCACGTGCAAGGTGAAAGATTGAAAAGAAGAAGCTCAGTCCTTTAAAGGCTGTGCAGCGTAAAAATACTGTTGTGTTATAAATAAATCCAACGGGAGGAGCAGCACAGCGGCAGAGTGACAGGCATGCTGCCGTACAGCCTCCGCTCTGAGATGACAGATTATTGATTCAGGTCAGGTTTGGCTGGGAGCCACATATCATTATGAAAAATGGCCTAATGATTTAATAAGGTGACGCTTGGTCTAGTACACCAGCTAAAGACTTGATGATGGGTTATTGCTCCCCCCTTCTCTCTAAGTCTCATACAGTCTCATGTGATTTGTTTAGACATTACATCCACCTCTTGTATACATTTACAGTAAATGGATTGCATTTTATGTAGCTCTCCTGCAGTCTTTGTGATCCCTCAAAGCGTGTTCACCCATTAACACACATTCATAGAGCGAGGCAATAGCAGCCACACAAGGTGCAACCTGCTCAGAGAGACTAATATTCTCTCACATGTACACACTGTTGACCATGCCGTTGGCAGCCACTTGGTTAAGTTGACTGCAGGGCTTACGATTGATGGAGCACTGTAGCCTACATCCTAAACCACTTCCACAGTGGAAGCACCCATCAGCTCAAGGCCTGACAATAGAAATGCTTAAATGCATTGTTCAAAGGGAAACAGATTCTTTTGTCAGGGATTTTTTACCAAGGATAAGAATGTAAATGAGGCACTTGTGTGACTACCTAAACTCAAAGTAGGACCTTCAGACAGCTTCGTTTTCACTGATTAACTGTACACAGGTCTACTTGTGAAATAACAGCCAGATGATAATGATGATTATAGGAACGATGAGAGTGATGGTGAGACTGATTATGACAATTAGCGGCTGTAAATTGATTGCTCCTTTAGTCCCATTTACGCACATGAACTGAAACCAGCTAGTAGATAAATTAAATAACGCCTTCAACACCCCCACCTCTCCCTCCCTCTCTTTCTCTGTTAAACAAGGACGCTCACCCTCCATCTGAAGGCCGGTGATGCCTGGCACAAAGTAGCTTTAACCCATGACATCCCACATTTAAAACAGATGTGCAAAGGTTCACGAGTGACCAACAAAAACACACATTCAGCATGTTTTCTGGCTGAGGTGCCCTTGAGTGAGAACCACCTCTTGCTCTGCACCTGACCCTTTCCCCAGAACAGCCAGAGCAATGAGCATTTCCCTAAAGGGGATCAATGAGGTATCACATTATACACGATCTGCTCTGATGCCCTGTCCTCCTCCTCTGCTCTACTTCCCCTGCATCCAGAATTCAGAGCACCAGTTTCCCTCACCCTGACATTTGGTCTGTCCCCTATCCTTCCACCAACCCAACCACCACCACCACCACCACCCATCTCTGAGAAGAGATTCATCCAAACACAGAGAACATTGTGTCGAGGAGGCTCCGGTTGAGAGAGAGAGAGAGAGAGAAACAGAGGGGGGGAGAGAAAGAGAGAGAGAGAGGGAGAGAGGGAGAGAGAGAGAGATCCTCCTTGGCACACACCCGTCAGTGTGGCAGTGTGATTTTGACTGACTGGCTGACTGACGGGGATTCTGGAGGAGACGCGCAAGAAAGGAAGGACACTCTCTCCGGTTTTAATCCCTTCAGTCATCGTTGCAGATGGTTTTCTAGCTGCACTGCCTGCATCCACCTAGGCATCGGATTTTGCTTTTTTTTCTCCTTTCCTTGATTGGCTGAACCAGGGGCTGAACCCAGCCAGCCTGGGCCGGGCTGTGGGGGCTGTTCAGCGAGCCTAATAGCTGAAGTTGGTACCCGAGATGAGCGTCTGGACACCCGGGAGCGGGGCTCTCTCTTCGCCAGGGAGAGGGTCTGGGTCGTGGCGGTGCTGGTGGTGGTGGGTTGTAGTGATCGGGGTGTCAGTGGGATCTGGAGACCCGTGGATGTCCGCGGAGGCATGCCCGTCTTATTGTACTTGCAGCAGCACCAGGATCTCCTGTGTGGACCCGGAGCGGGGGATCAATGCTTTCCCCGTCCTACAGAGCGAAGCGGAGATGGAGAACATCACCGACATGTGAGTCTCTCTCAGAAACATCAGATTTACATAATGGGGATGTCGAATTCATAAATTGTATTTTTATATTTTTTCAATGTAGCGGTATTTCCCAACACTTTCCAAATAAACCATGTCCTACTTTACCCCTTAACTGCCAGCTGTGTCTGGAGCTGACAGGCTACACTGTCCGCAAGGAAAGAGCCACAACCGGTTCAGATAATGTCTATTTTTCGCTCTGAGTCTTAATCTCTTGCATGATTTTAAAGAGAATTCGCAGATTTACCAATTTGGATACAAATGTAGGTCCTTTTCATTTATTCGGCACGGGTATCTGTCAGACTCGCATCATGTGTAACCTACATTGCATAACAGACACATTGCCATCATGAGGCCATCAGTCTTTCAACACCAGCATGGAAACTGACAATTTAATAAAGAAATGACTTGAGTCAGAAAGACTTCATTCCGGCTATTAGACAAAGCCCTACTGTGTGCAGGAGCGTGCATGTGCCTTTACGCGTGTCTGTGTGACCGAGACCCGCACACCACCACTGTCCAAATATTAGTGCGAGACACTTCCCAAGATGGCTTAAATGAGTGTTTTTAATGGGCCACAGAGGCGAAGAAAAATCTTTATGAAAAAAGCGATTATTTTCCAATCCGTCAACATTTCTCTTGAATACTGGACCCTTTTTTTCGTGACCATAATACAAATAAATGATCAGTGTGCTTTTAAAAATGTAAACTGTACTCCCTTTTCATGAAGTGTCACGTGGTCTAAAATAAACTCTGACGTTGAAGCATTTTTATCTCAGAGCAATTAAAAGAGGAGATTAAAATATTGAATTGCTGCCCTATCTTTCTTGGCACCGATAAACGGCCTTGTTGATAATAACTTGTCAGAGATGAACTTGGGAGAAGCCTTGGAAGCTGTTTAAATGAGCCAGCAGTCTGCTGAGAAGCAGCCACTGAGCACTAATGTAAACAGACAAATCACTGATGACCATGCATGTCTATCTCCAAAACGACCTTGCCAGAAAACGTCGATTTAGGTTATCATGTCTGTGGTAATTGGTTAACACCGAAATTCAAGACATCTGCACACACATAATGACAGAATATAATGAGCTTTAAACGTCGCTGTGAACTCCTGTATGGGTGTTAATACTCAAAACAGCCGTTTATATGAATGTGTCAATGTCTGTTTCGTATAAAAGCTGAGTCAAACAAATCTTATTAAGTTCACCTGCTAACAAAACATGCTTCAGAAGTAGGTCAATTGAATGACAGATTGAAAATCTTAAGAGTTTATTTGAGGTGTTGGCTCTTTTATAAATACTAACACAAGAGGAACAGCACAGACAGTTGTTTCATTAGTAATGCAGTCTTTAATGAAGATGAAACAATAACATTAAACCTTTAACAAAAGTATTTGGTTTTGTATCTTAATACTGATAGGCAGTAGTAAATGAAAGTCAAACGGACACATGTGGGTGTAGTAAATGTACACTCAACTCCCCCCTGCACAATAAAACAAACAGTGTTCAAACCAGAGATACTGTCTTTGGCAGCAGCGTAATCCAGAGCGCTTTCTGCTTCTTCTTATTGCTTGTTTACAGATACTTATCGGAGACGTTGATGCTGGTGATTTATTGAAGATTTCAAATGAGATTATAACCCTACAAACATTCAGTCAGAATTGAATTTCAGTTGTGTGACATTATTGTCAGCCAATATTACGTAAGTGAATGTAGTTTTATGAAACAGTGTGTTGAAGATACATGGTTTAATTTATCAGAGTGTAAAACACTGAATAATGCTGACGTTGTAGACCTGGTTCTTTAATTATGGAAAGCCACATATCCAATTTTATTACTACACATTTGTACTGCCTTTTTTTCAGGCTTTATTTTGACTCTAATGGTGACAGCAGAGCACTGATAGGAAATGAGGTGAGAGAGAGAAGCAGTGGTATTCAACTAAAGTCTCCCGCCGGCTTTAAAGCAATTACACTGTGTGGTTTGGTACAGCGTCTTACACCACAAAAGGCCACCAGAACCCCTATAGAATATTTTTAACAGTAAGGTGTCATCTTTTAAACCTTCACTGATCAATCTTCTGGAACCAAAAACAATTATTCTGGTATAAATTCAGGGAATTGAAAGAGGACACAGTGAATCATGTTGTATTGGAATAACTGCAGGCTAAAAAAGGTATGCACTCTATAAGGCTCCATATGTAGTCTTGTTCTCTTCTATAGGCACTGTTTGGATCTACAACACATTTGCCAGGTTGCTCGAGGAAGGTCTTGCAGATCGAAACGTTGAAATTAGGAACAGAGAAATAAGCGATTTGATTAAAGTCTAATTGCTTGCAAACTCCTTTATGCCCTGCAGTTATGTATTATTAGTTTTTTTTACCTGAAGATTTTTGCTAGGAAGTGCACACATTTGGTCCCTCTTGTGTATTGGGAATAATTAGCAACACAAAACAAATCTTGAACTGAAGCCCCTTGACAAGTATAGCCATGTAATGATCTTGGAAATCAATTACTCTAATTTAGAGATGTTTTTTGCTCCCAGTTGCCACATGAAAAAACATTATTTAATGACCTTCTGATTAAGCCAAACAATGCGTACCACGGTAAGTCTGAAGGTTTCTGTTACAGCATGTTCCCTCTGGAGGTGATTTGGAGTTTATCTCTAAATGTTCTCAGACTTCTGATCCCAAAGCTCTTGAAAAGTAGACTTACTGTTTTGCAGATCTGTTCACAGTTTTACTCATTCACACCGGGGATTCACCCTCAATCATCTCCGGTTGGCCCCTAATCGGGTCAAGAGCCCTGCTCCAGTGCAGCTGAGGAAAAGAGGGAAGAGAGCTGTGCCGGTTTTTGTGTTTAAAAAAAAAAAACTACCAGCTCCCTCTTGTGCCATTAATCAGCTGCAGTTTATTTTTTAACTTTAAACTTTAATCATGTGGGCATATTACGTCCCTTTGTCTTGTTGAAATGCTTCTGTTTGCTTCCCTCTGTTAACAAATGAGCCTTCTGACACACACTTGTATCCCCCGACAGTTACATCGCCAACCAGGGCAGCTTCTCCTCCATCAACGACAAAGACCTGCACTACTACAAGAATCTCAGGAACCTGTGAGTCTTCTATGCCTTATATTACAAAGACACACATTTTGACTCGGGATACATTCAGACCTTTTGTCAATGGTCACATTTGTCCTAATAATATAATCATAATACACAGGTTTTTTTTATTATATTCGTTGTGGCTGTTTTGTTAACTACATCGTTGTGTCAAATTATAAGTGTTTTTGTGCTGATAAAGAACATTTTCTCTAAATATTACAACATATTTGGCTTGGTATGATCCACTATATGAAATATTGATTTACTTTGCCTTTATTGATACTTTGCTTAAGGCAATGTATCGTACATGTCTGTTGCTTTAAACCCTGATTTTTATTGCAGGGTTTTGTAGTTACTAGGGTCTGTATCTGTGCTTCATTTGATTTCTTAATTAAAAAAAAAAATGGTCCACCAAGCAGCACTTTCTTGAAACATAATAATCCACAGCCATAGACAGTCCCACTTGTCTGAGACATACTCAAACAATTACACTCTGTCTTGATATGTATATATAAGATATTTCACAGTTTTGATGTTTTTACAGTAACTAATTGCCGTGTTTCGTAACTGATGAGATGTAAATCTGTGCTCAGTCATGTCTGAGGAGATGAATCCGTCACAGAACATCTGCTGAAACAACATTTCACAACAGATAATGATGTCTTAAGCCTGAGCTGATGAAGAGCACACACACTTTGCATCTGGTTTCAACACTGCTGAGAATGTGTAGCATCTCAATCTTAAAGCAGGTTTTATACATTATACCATCGTTTAAATTTACAAGCGTGCTGTGTTTCCAACAAAGATCTTGAATTCAGAAATGTTGTATGGACAACCTGGATTAGTGAAATGTTAATTTTATATGATTAGTTTATTTTGCATTTTGGAAAACACACAGCAGTGTGATATTCACGATGCTCAGAACAAGGAAAGATGGTCTGTTGACCATTGGTCCAAACCTAGATTTTTCGTAATGGTAACGTTAGAAAGAGGCAGGTTTACCGGTCCCTCTGGGGGGGGGGGGGCATACTTTGTTTATCTTGAAAGTTATATTCACGTCTGAACAAAGATTTATCTACCTCTGAGATTACCTATTAGAAACTGTGACCAACATTTATTTTAAGACTTGTGGAGCTGATTAAGAACCTGAATTCATGTTTTGATGTAACTCATTTTGCAGTTGTTGACAATTGTAAAGCTGTTATATTTTTTTTGTGGCAGAACGGTGACCAATAGCAGGCTTACGTATGTATCGAAGCTGGCCTTTCAAAACAACATCAAGATACAGTACCTGTAAGTAAAAACAATGTAAACTATTCCTTGATTTCTATTGACATTACAGTCACTGTGATAATTTATTCTTCACCATTGCTGAGTAAGATGTTTGACTCAGTTGGGGATAAAACTGTAAACTGTTTTCTTTTAAAATGAATACTTGATTTACTTTATGGTATTATTTATTGATAATATTGACAGGAAATGTATGGTATATAATATTATTCAGACTACTTAGTTGCAACATTATCAAGAAAACATTCACCAGAAAAAAAGAGACGAATTATGAAGTTCAAGCTCAATAGGACTATAAATAACAAATATAATTAAAGTTACAATTAAAATAAACCTTGAGTTACCGTAATTGATTAGAAATTATTCAGGCTTATGCATATAAATATTAGTGTCTGTAAAACTGACATAATGTTTTGGTATGGCTTTAAACAGCAATCTTACTCCCTGTTGTTTGACTTGATTTCCAGGAATCTGAAAGATAACAACCTGTCGTCGCTTTCCTGGAGGATATTCAGACACCTCAACATGTCCTATATGTGAGTTCAGCTCAGCCTCTCTATCAGTCTGTCCATCTCCATCTGTCTGTCTTTCTTTCTCTGCTATACCGCCTAGTTATCATCAGTCAGTCTATAAACACGTTCCTACTGCTTATGTGATGTCAACTATAGAGTAATGATGTGAAGTTACCTCTGTCTGCAATTCTGGGATAACCTAAAGAAAGAACATCTTTTAATCTAGATTTAGATTTAGGAGACAGGGTGAGGACAGAGATGAAGTTGCCCAGCAGAAATTACCCACCAAGGAATGTTAATGTGTGATCGGCTATGACCCCATGTTGTACATCCCTTTCCCCAGACATACTGTACAGTGATTCAGTCTCTCATTAACTGTTATTACAAATAAAGCAGTAGTTTTCACTTTGCATTGAGTGATTCTGAGAAGTAATCATTTATTGTCATTATGCAACACAGTGTTGCATAATGACAATAATCATTTATTGTCATTATGCAACACAGTGTTGCACGACAAAAGGCAGTTGTAGCCCATTTGCTAGAGCATTTAGCAGTAGAGCATTTCCGTTTGCCTAGTTAAAATTGAAGTTATAGCTCAATACATGAGTTGTTAAAAACTATCATGTCTGTAAAGTTCAATTTCCAGGAAGTCAAGAAATAGTCCAGGACATTACCACATCTCAACTTGTTATCTTTTGTACGGATCGTGTATTTCTGCTGCTTCCAGTCTTTATGATAAGCTAAGCTAACGTGCTGCTGGAGGTAGTTTCAAACATATTTCCCAAAATGTTAAACTGTTTCTTTATGGCACTCGTACAATTCAATCAAGCTATTTCTTTGTCTTTAAAATGTTCATTTACTCACACACTTTAATACTCACGGTTCTCAGCTGTTCCTGACTGTGTGTGTGTGTGTGTGTGTGTGTGTGTGTGTGTGTGTGTGTGTGTGTGTGTGTGCAGGATCCTCACAGGGAACCCTCTGCACTGCTCCTGTGAGAACATGTGGATGAAACTGTGGTTGGGAGAGGAAGCAGACAATCAGGAGCTGCGCTGCATCGAGGATGGAGGAGTACGCAAGCTGCTGTCCAGACTGACACTACCCAACTGTGGTGAGGAGACACAAATACACACACAAACACACACAGGGTAACTGGCTGGAAAAGACATTCACAAGCTGTGGCAGAGTGCAAAGTGTTGAAGGAAAACAGTAATTCTAATGGTTTCCTCTGCAAAGATTTTTCCTAATCTTTGTTTTGATTCCGTGTTCTCATATGTTTCGCATATGTCTGGCACATCTGTTTTTATGTTAGTGTATGTGTGTGTGTATGCATACACGTGTATGTGTTTAAGTGGAGGACATGTGCTCTGAAAAGCTTAATAGTAATAGCAAGACAAGTGTGCTAAGTATTTTGTTGATTCTCACAAGAGGATGAACACATTAGGCGCATTCACACCGCAGTACTTTTCCCACAAAGGTTCATGAGAACTCTTTAGTTCTATCCATTAGCATGCGCTGGGCTAATGCTAATGCTAATAATGCTAATGAGAGGATAATAAAATGGCGGCTTCACAAAACTTTTTTTGAGTTTTACGGGGCGTGGTTTGCATTCCGCCCAGCCAATCAGACATAGGAACCTTTTTCTCCCACGAAAGTCCCTGCTCTCCATGGATGTATAATAAGGACTGGATACAGCGTGGGAGGCGGGGTCTCGTTCTTTCCTATGAGAGCTGCTCATTGGCGCATGAGGACAAAATGGCCCAACTTTTGAGAGAGCGAAACGTCACAGATTACCCGTCATGCCTGGCTGTCAGAGCAGAAGTACCCGTATGTGCGCTCATAGAGCATGCGCAGTTGAGTTGCCCCTTAAGCCCCGCCCCCGAGCTCCCACTCTCAGATGCGCGTTCATAATGCCAAGGAAAATAACTCTCATAATAACGTTATTAGCACATTTTACAACTTGAGGACCGAATTTTTTTAATAAGGGCTATACAAATGTTCATACTGGGTAGTTTATTTAGTTTAAAAAAAAATATCCAACAATTTACAGACCACTCTTTCCCAATGTAAGTCAATGGGAAAAAGTGTTTCCGGGCCCAGCAACCCATACGGAAGTGTAGTACCGCCGTTTGGCCACAATGAATATTTTCCTCAGAGTCCGGCGCACTTCCTGGGGGCTTGCTGCTCTCTAGCAGTTCCGGCTCTTTTTGGTGTGAACGCGACATTTCGGAACTATATCGGAACTAAAGTGGGAAAAGTACTGCGGTGTGAACACGCCTATTGAGAAGGAGATGTTTCTTTGATAAAACCTATGAGAATAACTGTACTAAATGTCATAAAGCTAAAGTGAGGATGCTACACACACTGTATTTCACTTACCCAGTGCTCTGCTTAGCCTGTCAATTGTAATTTCTCCAGACACTGCACGGTGCAAAAAGCTTCAATGTCTTACAGATGAACAGGCAAACAAATGACCAAATGCATGCATGCACACTCAGAGCCTTGACTACAAAAATGTAGTTTGGTTTGTGCAGGGTGTCATTTAAAGGGCACCCACACTAAACAGGCTGACGTTATCTCTGTGCTGTAGGGAGTTTTCTCATATGATGCATAGATTAGCTGCCAGATGGAGGAGAGTGAAATGTGTGACCTACAGAGTGGTGTTTGAGTGTGCTGTGTGTTAATCTTATAGACCAGTTACAGTCATCCGAGACATTTGCTCGTAGGTGTAGAAAGGTCACTGTGTGTAGGACATTATGGAAGCAGGACTGAGAGGGAGCGTTTGTGTGAATAAACACATAGATGACATCAGTGATTTTCAAAGATGCTGAGTGGAGAAAATTTACTGCATGTATCACAATAAAATGAAGTGTTATAAAGACCATCTGCACAGTGTCCTGTGGCACCGCTGACCCGCTGTCATTCAGCAGATTTCATTTCCAATTTCTCTGAATCATGTTTCGGTCGTCTGTAAAGGGATTCATTCTTGAGAGCAGCAACACTTGATAGCAACAGCAATAATCACATTTTTATGAACAATAAAAGACGTTTTCCACAGATATAATTGCGAAACGTAATGAGAGAGTGTTGCATCTTTGTTTAAGAAACGGTTTTAAGTATTCCAAAAACTAATAGTCTCTACAACCACAAAATGATATTCTTAGTACAAGTTCATACAGTTATTTACAATACAAGTGGAATGTCAAGCTAACCAGCATGCTTGCTCTCACTAGACAGACATCCACTGACCACAAAGCTTTTATGTCCCTGCTTACGGGAGTGTTCATCAAGCTTGAATGTATAAATGTCAGCAGTTAATCAATGCTTTATCCTTAGTTTTTTAAGAAGCTCTCTATTTTGGACTTCCTTCTTTTCATCAACAAGGCCAGATTACAGCTTGACCTGTCTGCTTGTCCAAATTTAGCCAGGATTTGTAGGTTTTGATAAGCATAAATCAGGCTATAAGTGACATAAAGTAATATTTAAAAGCTTGTGTTTAACCCTAGCGCACAAATGAAAGGCAGATAGTCCAGCCTTGAAAGCAAAAAGTCCAGTCGGATCCAGTTTGTGTGTGTAAAGCGAAGACATAAATAAGTCTTCATGTCTGATTTGAATTGATAAAGCACACAATAATTGCAGTCAGAAAAGCTTTATAGGTCTAAATTGAGACGTAATCAAATGTTCTCTCTAATAATCCCGAACATGAATCTGAAAGTATTTTTCCCATCCGGTCAAAAATAGCTTAGGGCATTTGGGACGTAAACAATAAGTTAGCATTCAGGAAGCTAACAATGTCATTGATAACTCCTATTGATCCGTCCCCTCTGCCTCCCTTCCATTAGCGGAGGTTATTTTTGGCATTAGCACAGTTACAGCGGGGCCCCTGGAGAGGTGGGCAAGGGACCCCCTGGCAGTGTGACATATGAGGAGGAGGAGGAGGACATGGTGGATCGGGGGTGCCAAATAATGCCCCAGGGCTGTCACTGATACACACAAAGTCCGAACTGCTGCCCTTTTGCTCTCTATGTCGTTTTTCAAGCTATCTTTTGCCTCCCCCTCTCTCAGGCTGTGTCTCCCCCCTCTTTATTACTCATTTTCCATCTCTCTGTCTGCTCGCATGTATGACAGTCTGTCTGAACATTTCTGAGTGACATATGAGGAAGGCACAAAGCAGAGGAAGTGCCCAACGATGCCCTCGGGCTGACACTGATCTCTCAGGCCATCCGCATATGTCTCTCGCTCTGTTTCTCTCTGTGGACTGTTTTTTGCCGGAGCTCCACTCCAAAAGGCTGGCAAACACAGACTGTCCCCACTGCTGACCTGTAAGAACCATAGGCGGAGTTTGACATTTGCGCTTGGGGGGGGCAAACCTTTTTTACTGACGTCAGTACACAGTCCCAACTATTGCGTGGGATACTACGGATACAGTAGCAATAAAGCCAGCGCTCACCGCACTGAGTATGACTTTTCCATGCCCGCCGTACACACACACTCATATGGAAGGGGCGGTCTCTCCCCCCAACAACAGTGCATTACATAACTGTAAAACTTATCATAACTGTGCACATCTTATACTTATTTGATAACTACTATATCCCTTGGTTACTTGAACACGCTACAATATTATTAACCAGTGTCCTACCTTATTAAAATATTGATATACGAAATATTTGTATTGGAACAGTTTTTGACGTAGTAATGCTGTAACATATTTCAGCCACTAGGGGAGGCAATGCCCCCCCTGCCCCCCCGCAAAATCTGCCTATGGTAAGAACCCTAACTTAGAACAATAATGCGCTGATGTTACTGCAACCCCATGCTTGTGCATTATGAAAATGTTCTTTAGCAACCCTTTCTTAATTAGTAATTGTGGATCATGCTTGTTAAAGGAACATATCTACATATCCTATTTGATTTAAATGTTGTAATTTAAACCAGCTGTCCTAAGAATAGGTGCATTTTCCCCACACTGTGCCCTGGAAGTGACAGCAGATGGGTTGCTGGACCTCTGCTGGTCACATCACAGCGCTGCTGCCCTCTGTCCTCATCTGTCACTCTCTATATCTCTCTCTGTCTGCCTCTATCTCTCCGTCTGTCCATTTGTCTGTCTGGAATGACTGGCTCTCAGGTTTCATTTCCCTTTCTCATTTGTTTTGTCATTTTTTAAATTATTGTTCAAGTCTTATTTCCTGTCATCTAATATCTATATCTCCTTCTCTAACACAAGCACACGTAGGCACCGGAGCGGTACATAACAAGTAAAAAGGCCAGATGGCTTCTGTGTCTGTGAGCAGTAGATGCTATTGACATGTGTGCATTTTCTATAGGGAGAATACTCACTTGAACTAAACAAGGCACAAAAGTTGAAAAACTACATTTAAAATCCACACAGATCTGAGAAAGCACAAATAAAATCAGCACGTGTAGATTGACAGAAAGTTAAGATGGTATTCTTGATGAGAGGTATTTCAAAAGGTGATGGACTTGACGTATAGTAAGGTGTTGCCTCCCTGCAGCCATTTTTAGCATACGCTGACATCATTAAGCACAAGAGGTTTTGTCAACATACTGTAAGGATTCAAGAGGGTTAAACATGGAAAACAGCTTTAAAAACAGAAGAGCACAGCTGGGCAAAACAATTCAGTAAATCATCTTTATGGGAATGAAAACAAGGTAATTGCTAATAATATGAAATGGGGAGGAAAAATGTGTTGTGTTGATGGTGTGCAGTTTTCATTTTTGAATTTATAAGTAGTCCTTCATACGACAAGAATGAATCATAGCTGAACCCCATCAATATCATGGCGTGTTCTGTCCAGGTTAGATGCCCTTCAAGATTGACTACATCCAATGCAAATGCAGGAAGTGTCCTTAGTGCAGAGAAGTGGAGAGTAGGGGTGTGGAGGTCGAGGTGATGGATGGGTGCGTCTGCTCCTTATGCAGGAGACCAACGTTTCACCTTCCTATTATACATTGATGATGTTTTCACTACTTTAACCATGGCTTTAGCCTTAACTTAACAGAATGGATGGCAGATTCAGGAAAATGTAAACCCCAAAATGATGTCAGACAGTCAATTTGACTGAAAAGAGAAAGTGAATAATCTACGACAGATTCTGGGTTTAAAAGCTGCTCAGCTAGTATTGTCGTCCGTTCTCCTCCCTCTTCCTCACTGAATCCCTCTCATAATGCACCGACAGTTCACTGTGCTCGAACAACAGAAATATACAGAGACAAACTCAGGGACGCGTTTTGTGTTGTGTCACTTTTTAGCACATTTTCTTCTCTCCCTGATGTTAATTTTGTGAAAAATGTCTCTCTTCTGCGCCTGCCTTTCATCAGAAATCACCATATCTCTGTGGTGTAGAGGCTGGAGCATAATAAATATGAACACTTCTCTAAACACAGATGTGGATGTGCCCATTGCGGCCCATAACAAGAGCTGACAACAATGACACCTCTAACAATGACGCTGAAGTATGCCTGGGTGTATTGTGCAGAGGTTTCAATCCGGATCGGATGTTTTGCTTTTAAATATGAGCTGTGAGCAGCTATTCAGCTCCACATCACCGGGGCATATCTCCAATGCTGGGCCAGTAATTCACAGCCCTTTCATAGCACATGCTCCCTGAATAAAGGTAATCTGAATTCAAGGAGTCAAGGAGTGTCAAGGACTGGGGTGTTAGCAATGAGGTTTCTTTGTTACAATCTTGCACAATTATCTGCCTTTGAATAGCATTGTTTATAGAAAAAGAAGGTCCTTGAAATGACATCTGGTAATACAAAGAAATACAATTTGAAGGAAAGTGCAAGTTAGCTGCTTGTGCACCAAAGTCCCACAAGATTATAATAGTGAAGAAATTACCCAAAGGTAAAATTCATAGGATATTCTTTCTTTGACGTTTGATTAATTTTTCTGTCCTCCCGTTATGCAGATAGTTGAAGACCTTAAAGTAATGCAAGTAACGAGATCATTTTGTGCGAAGTAATGTAAGTACTGTTATTATCAACAGTAACGCGTTACAGACTAATGTAATCTGATTACAGTGAAACGTTACTTTGTCGTGCGTTACCCCCAACACTGATGATCAGTTATTATTTTGTTAAACACAAAAGTTTATTCTGGAAATAGTAGTCTGGCGTTGAGCTGGGCAATATGAAGAAAAATCATCTATAACAATATTTTTGACCAAATAGCTCGATATCGATATTGTGACGATATTCTACAGCCTGGATTTTTGTGTTTTCACAAAATTAGATTTCTTATAAATGATTATCAGTAATGTGGATCTAATGACTAAGAGGGTATAAGCAAATAATAGAAAAGCTGGAACAGTCTGGTTATTTCCGAGAATTAGATTGCTTTACTGTGATGCATCTTTTGAAACCACAAAAAGATCCCACTTCACATTGTGATATACAAAATGTAAGACAAAATCTAATTTCACAATATCAATATAATATTCATATATTGTTTATTAAGTGCTTTGAAATCAAACCAACTACTGAGCTTAAATGTAAAAAATCGACCTCAATGACATCAGAGCTATTCCATTTGGTGGCGATAAGCGGGCCTTACGTTTGTGATTATTTATTTTAATTTTTTTACAGTCAGCCAGTGTCCTGGATGTTGTGCATTAAGTTGGCTCCCCCTCTGCAGACACTTGACTCCCCGTGTTTCCCATATGCAACCAGCTGCAGATGAACCTCAACACGGTCCAAACAATAGTTCAATCTTTCCTCGTAATGATTCACGTGTTGTCACTGACACAGGCTGGTCTACCATACTAATCACAGTAAATTCCTCCTCAATCCTACTTGTTGATTCTGCACACATCTGAGCCGCTAAAGGATTACAATCACTCCGGATGTCATGGGTGGTTTGACTACCAAAGCTGCGCTCGTACATAATAGTAAATGGAATAATTTTCTATGTACTGACAGGTCATGACAACTGCACTCACAATAGAGTCTGTTTCCGGAAGTTTCATTCTGAAATCCAGCTGTGTGTGTGTGTGTGTGTGTGTGTGTGTGTGCGTGCGTGCGTGCGTGCGTGCGTGCATGCGTGTGTGAGACACTGCAGAGGGTGTATAGTGTGAGTAGAAAGCTGATTTACGGAGAGCCTGTTAAGATATGTGGTTGTGATATGGCTGAAATGACTGTTTTTTTGTGCGTCTCATGGTGACTGAGTAGGTTGCCTTAGTGATAAGTGGGTTGCACTGGTGATAAGCATTCTGCCGACGGACAGACGAGGTGGACGAGGGGGGGGGGGGGGGGGGATTCGATAAGGAATCTGTCCAGTGTTATCTGCAGTAGCTGTCGACACCCATCTCTTTTCCTCTCTTCTTTTTGTTCTCCTCTTTCTTCCTCTCTAAGCTACTCTTATTTTCTACTGTTTTCTTTTTTCTTCTGGTCTAGCCTCCTCTTCTTCTTCCCTTTGCTTGTTTTCATCTGTTTTCCAGTTCTCTTGGTTCTCGACTGGCATCCCCTCTTTTCTTTTTCTTGCCTCCATTTGGTTCTCATCTTGTCCTTTCTTTGTCTCTTTCCTCTCTTCTCATCTTCTTTCTCTTCTCTTTTCTCCTTTCCTGTTATCCTCTCTTCACCCTCTCTTTGTTCTCATTTTTCCTTCTTGTCTTTTCGATGTGCTCTCTTCATCTTCTTTCTCTTCTCTTTGGTTTGATCTGATCTTCTTCTCTTACCTTCTTTAGGTTCATGCCTTGTCTCCTCATCTTTTCTCCCTCTCTTCTCTTTGTAGTCTTTTCCTTTCATCAGAGATGTTACTGGACAGGAGATGAGGGTGGCAAAACTCTGATTGAGTCTGATTGGTCACACTCAGGTCACCTCCTGGTCAGAACACACACACACACACACACACACACACACACACACACACACACACACACACACACACACACACACACACACACACACACACACACACACACACACACACACGCAAACACACAGGCACACACACACACAGTCACCAGTGTCTTAGCTTTGACTGAGGCTTCAGACTGTGTCCAATCAATTCAGTTCTTGGGCTGCTGAAGACATGCAGTAGTAATCAGTGTAACCATCACCATGTTTGAACTCTGTGTCTTTGTCTGACTGTTTGATTGGGGGGAGTGTGCTTAAATGAGAGAGAGAGAGAGAGAGAGAGAGAGAGAGAGAGTGAATTCGAGGTCTTTTCTTTGTGTGTCCTTCTTTTCACTCTGTGGTAGTGGTTGTGTGTTTGCCTGCTCTTCCACTCATATTGTCGAGGTTGTTACGTGCCTTGTGTTTCAAATGAAAAGACAAGAGTTGGCCATGAATCCTAAGTTTGCTTCCTTCCTCTTTTCCTCTCCTCCGCCCCCCCCCCCTCTGGTTGTATGTAGAGGTTCCCATGGCAACGTTGAACCCATCCAAGGTGACACTAATGGAGGGGGAGCATGTGGACCTGTCCTGCACGACCTCGGGGGTGCCCTCGCCCGAGCTCATATGGAACATGGCGTTGGTCTCCAACTATGAGGTCAGGTCACACACGGAAATACAAACAGAAATACACACCAGCAGATTTACTTTACTTTACAGACATGTTTCATATGACATGGCATGCCCTATGTTTATTGCTTTTAGAGATACAACAGTTAATTGATTCATTGATTGACAGAAACAAATATATTTTAATTTATTAATTGTAGCTGTCAATTTTCAAGTGCTCATGTAAGATATTTTGTAGTTTCAGTTTCTCAAAAGTGAGGATTTGGGGCTTTTTTCTTTGTCATATGCCAACATCTTTGGCCTTTTCTAGAGTGTTGACAGGAGAAAATCGAAGAAAATAAACTGAATTTGCAGTCCAGAATGTTTTAACTAATCATTGATCCCTTAGATAATTGAATCCATTATTAAAATAACCGAAAACTGAGTTATTTATATGATTTTATAGTGTGCTTTCACCTGTTACTTTTTGATTTGATTAAAAACGCCATGGATGGGTATGATCACCTGAATCTAATGCTTTCAACTCTTAGCCACAAATCCTAAACATTTTTCACTATGTACATACAAAAAAAAAGCTGACTCATCGTGCTGATATATGGATGTTTTTTCTCCCTCAGATCGAGACATCGGGACAGATTTCAGTGCTGCGACTTACCAACCTGTCGTCACTGGATCACAACAGCAAGATCAGCTGCACGGCTGAGAACATCGTTGGAGAGAAAGAGTCCGCGCTGATGTTGGATATACTTTGTACGTTTTCCCTCTGGCAAACAGCCCTGATTTAATTTAGATTATTGTGTCAAAGTACTGTATGTGTCAGCCCACTCTTTAAAACAGAGAATTCAAAGCTGGAGAAGACAACTGTGTTTCTGCATGCTGTAGCTTTGTCTATGAGCTACTGTACGCTCTTATCTTCCTTTCTTTATTGTCTGAATCTCACACTTGCTCTCTCTTCTCTCTCCTACACTCAGTTCCTCCCAAAATCACGAAGCTGGCTGATGCAATCCCCGACCATCACTGGTGCATCCCCTTCAGCATGTCAGGTAAACACATACACACATTTTTTATGTGCCGAGTTTCCACTGCATGCTAGGGCTCCACTTGACTTTCTTTGGTTTTCCACTAGGTATAGCACCTGGTACTTTTTGAAAAAAGCAAATAGCTGTCAATAGAATGTTTTGCAGTCACCTGGCAAAGCACAATGTACACCTTACCCTAAAACTGAGATGGCAGACGTAACTCTGCTTGGTTGCAAATGAAATAATTCAGCAAGTCTTTCATTTACACGCCAGTTTAAATTGGTGTTGCTACGGGGAACAGCTGTTCACCCCGCCTAGGCTACTGTAAGGCAGTACTATTCAAATAGAAAATGAAGTTCTATGTAGAGTACTATGCACTGGAAACACAGCATTAGTGGGACTTGGCTGTTTATTTTCTGTCTTTAGGCCTAAAATACTTGGCCTTAATTTTGTATGTTCCCGTTAAATGTATCAGAGCAATGACTACATGAGCAAAGATAGACTTATGATTCAAATATCTGAAAGCACTGAAAATCACCGTGTCAAGTCTTCATGTTGTTCCCAGGAAACCCAAGGCCAGAGCTGCTGTGGTATCAGGATGATAAACTTGTGATGGAGGGCAAATTCATCGTGACGATGATCCATGACGTCACAGAGAGAGAGTTCCACGGCTGCCTGCAGCTCGACAGCCCCACACACCTCAACAACGGCCGCTACAAGCTGGTGGCTACAAACAAATACGGCACAGACATGAAGGAGGTGGAGGCGCACTTCATGACCAAGCCCTGGGAGGGTGAGGAGCAGCACCAAGCAAAATCAAGCTTTTACTTTCATTAAGTACAGAGCTGAAACAGTTGCTCAATGAATTGATAAGACAAACGACAAAACATTTCTCATCAACTGTTTTTATCATCAGTTAATCATTATTATAATATTAAATAAATGTATATATAAAATTGTATAAAAAATATAATCTATATAAAATATAATCTATATAATAAATAATTTATCTAACTTTTCAAGCAATAATCCCATGTTGCAGCTTCTCAAATGTGGCGATTTGTAAACACTGAGCAATGAACTACACAATTTAGCTCGTATATTAATGTGACTTGCAATCTGTATTAGTATTTTCTTTGTTTGCAGAACTTATAATTATTATAAGAAATATTATTATTATAAGAAATTATAATACAAAAATTATAAAAGATATTGTTAGAGATTTCTGTTTAGTAAATGTTCAGGTAAATGCTTTTGACCTTTGTGCTCAAGAACATTTCCCCTCTGAGTTTTAAAGCACCAGCTAGAATATGACAGCTTATTTTCTTCCTTTTACAAAAGCAATGCCATACTGGCGGTTTTGTATCAGCGGTTTTTGGTAGTCACAAGATTTGAAGGAGGAGCTGTTATTATAATTAACATTAAATTATAGAGAATATACAAATGACTGATTTTCTAAGGGGATCAGAAGGGTGATTGTGTGCAGGTAAACAGTATCTTTAAAAAAGTAAAAAATCAAGTATCTGCACATAAAAATAAATCTGAAAAAACTGTATTGGCGTCACAAAAAGCAACATTTCTCACCACCTTGGTTAAACAGGCCAACATCTTATATTGTATGTATTGTATACACACTGGTATATTAATATTTATCAGAGAGAATATTTATTAAAAGTTATCTTTTGTTTTCATATTTCATGTGCAGAGGAGCCTATCTATTATGGTGAGTGAAATCGTTTTTCATGACTACACATTTTGTATCTAATGTAAAAGTGATACATCTAAAACATCCAGTCCAGTCCAGATGGTGTATTCATATAGTGTCAGTGTTTTCAGATGTTTTTTCTGTTTAACATCCTATCATTTTCATCCCTATCAATTAACACAAATTACATTTTAGACATTTTTCTCTTTCTCTTTTTTCTCTCAAGCTGGTGAGGGTGCGTAGCATACCTACAGTACACAACCTTGCAGCTAGGCATTAGGGATGTTTTTCCTTTTTCCACATTCTGGCCCTGATCTCGTTCTTATTATTTCTGATGTTGTGTATGCTAAATACATGTTGTCTGTTGGTTTGTGTATTGTGTTTGTGTAATGTTTTTGAAACAAGCTTAGAGAACAAGCTCATGACTGACAGCATTAGATGTGAAGTGCGTGTCAAATAACTTACGAGTGAAGTGTGTTGATATGTTTAGGAGCTAATTTGTCTCTGTTGTCTCTTTTCTCTTTTGCTGTTTCTCACACACCTTGTCCCCGCTACAGATCCATCCACAGGTACCGCTACACCTTCGAACACTCCCAATCACAAACATTGCTTAGCCCCCGTAGTTACAGTTGCTATGCCTGTCAAGCTTTACGTTTTCTTATAACACATATGCAGTTTCAATTGATATATTAAATATGGAATATTTCATTTGGTATAAAGTTTTATCTTTGATTTCAGGCCGGCAAAAGCCATTTCATCAATGTTGCCTTCTCAAATGACATCAATGTGAATCTTTGTGCTGTCATAGCTCTTTTAAAAAACGTTATCCAGCTACTTATCTTTCCAGGTGACCCTTTTAAAATAAAAAGCCAATAAGAAACTCCAAAATATGAACTTAAGGGCCAAGTTCATAGCATATCAAAACACTGAGGCCCAGATTGTATTTTTCCCGGCAAAAGTCAGCATCCTCATCATAAGATGATGAAGAAAACATGGAAATCAAAAAACACTATTCTTCATATTTCAGTGTAGAGCTAGCTAGTCCTAATAAGTATAATAAGAAAGACCCTGTTTAGCTGTGGAAAAATATAAAACCGAGTTTCTTTAAGTATGCATAGTAGTATTTATATTTTATTTGGAGCAGATGCACACAATGTTAAACGTTTGCAGAAGCATATAACTTCAACATTATATTTACTCAAGGATGTTTATGTTACTATAACACACAAGACTATTCTTCACTTCTCTAATGACTCTTCTCTTTTTAAAACCATCTCTCCTTCAACAGAGGGCCCCCCTCTAGAACCTTCTGAAGACAGAGTCGCTGTAAGTCACATTTTACTGTTGTCCTCTTTGCTGATTTCATCGATACCTGAGCTGGATCTATTTTGATCATGTTAAACGGAACTGCACGGACACACCACGATACAAAGACACAGCAGGGATTTAGAAAATATGCCGATAGTCTATAACTTCTGGTGTCATTATATTTTTGTATATGAAGTGTAACTCTGTTTCCTCAATGTGCAGGTGTACGTGGTGGTGGGCATTGCTGCTGTGGCCTTTACCGGTTTCCTTCTAATGTTGGTCATTCTCAAGTTTGGAGGGAATTCCAAGTTTGGCATCAAAGGTAAGACTTCTTACTTTTATAGTCATTGGTCATGTTCAACTTGACGGGGAAGGACAAACAGTACAGAATGAATCCCCCAGAAATGTTGTTTTGTTTTAGATTTTGACTATTAACATAGCTGTAGCATTGGATGGATTCATGGATACATCAAAAACACATTTTAAAGGTCCCCTATTATACTGTTTTTCATCAATATATTATAGGTGTCAGATATACAAAACATGTCTCTGAAGTGTTTGGCTTGAAATACCAAACAGATCATTGTAGCATCCCACAAACCCCTCTGTTTCAGCCCTGTTTCAAAAGTGCTGATTCTCTGTCTGTTACTTTAGATGAAAATAAAGAGCCACTCCCCACGCCCCTCTGAGAGATATTTGGTTAAAAAGAACACAATGGTGCTCTAGGAGGAGATTCAGGTGATAAGGTGGGGGGGGGGGTTACCTTGGTTGGTGATTGGCTAATGGTTACACAAGCCAAACAATCGTTATGACATCATAAAGTGGCCAAAATCAGATCAGCTCATTTTCAGACAGGTTTTTATATAAATGGATCAGGACAAAAAGTGAGCGAATCTTTTTTCCTGAAACCTTCAGAATCTCTTTACACAGGGGGGACACATGTTTATGTATAAAATACATGTACAAGTGGATTTTGCATAATAGGCGACCTTTAATATATTTGCCCCAAAACACCAAAATCAAAACAAAGTAGAACCCTGTCTCATTTCCCAAATGACATGTCCTTTACAGACGTCAGCAAGAGATGCCCTAAATTGCAATTATACTATTTTGAGGAGGTAAACATATGCTTTGCCATTGCCTCAAAGCCCCTGCACATACACTAGCATTAATTGGGATTTATAAAGGAAATGTAGCACTGGCAGGTGTATGCAACTTTTTATTAATTTGAATATTTATTGCCATGTGTACGTACATTTCCACATTTAGTGTGGATTATCCGCCAGTTAAATGAGGCTCCTGGTCATACATTACATTACATGTAATTTAGCAGACACTTTTATCGAAAGCAACTTAGAGAAACATTAATATACTTTGACATGGGGGTGTGATTGAACCGCTGACCCTCTGATTGATAGACTTATTTTCCCCCTGCGCCACAGTTGCTGTGTGTACACATTACATGGATATAGTGGACATTTTCCTTGCAGTGGTTATTTCAGCCCTCAAAGGGATGATCTGGCACTAAAGTCAAGATGGGACAGCTACATGTATGAGAAGAAAAAGCAGAATTTATGGACTCCCGACTAATTTATTATGCGGCCCATCGTGTGTCCATGAATCCATTCTGTTCAGGTGGAAACAGCTGCTGTCTGAAGGAGGTTCACTGGGTCTGAGTGCTGCTGGTGATAACACGCATGTCAACTAAACTGAGCGCCTGTGGTCTTTGTCATGTTGATGTTAAACTACTGTGCCCCGCCCCCTTTCCCTCCCCACACACACACACACACACACTTTCATCCTTTATGTTTTGCTGCTCAAGTTTTTCTAAAAGCATTTTCAAAGCAATGTGTGACTTCTAGAAATGGCAGCAAGTGAAACTAATCTATTGTTTCATATTTATCATACTGACGTACTAGAACTGATTTGTCTTCTTTTTGCTAATTTCTTCACATTGTTTGTGAAATAACCACTGAACAACACCCCCATCGGCTCTTCGTTTTATTCATGCATAATGATGGTAATTCTGTTTTTCAATTGTAGTTCATGGTCAATGTGCAGTTTAAGAATCCACGGGCTCATTTTCTGAACGTTGATATTCAGCTTTGTGTAAATGTTAATATACATACGCTTGGTGTACGCACTGTTTTTTTGTGCTTTCCATTTAACTGACTTTAGATAGGTTGAAAAAGTATAATGCATTCATGATAAGCAACTAAAGAACTCAACACTCTGAGGAAGTAATTTATGCTGTTTAAAGATACAGTTGTTGTAGGAATAAATCAATTTCTTTGGCGCCGCTTGAACCATTAGCATTCGATGCAGCGAAGGTCCACATTTGACATTCAAATTACCAAACCAAAAAGGGAATGCAAATGTAGAGACAGACGTGATGAATGTGTATGTGCCTGTTCCTCTGTGTGTGTTTGACTCTCGGTTGCACTGTTGAAGTGCAGTATTCTGGCAGTGATTGATTTATGGCCCCTCAGAGGGAAGCGGTGAAAGACAGATGAAGCAGCCAGTATATATATTGTATGTGTGTGTGTGTGTGTGTGTTTGTGACAGTGTGTGTGAATTTATGGTTTTGTGTGACGTTCACTCTTCCTCCAGGAGAGGTGAATGAGGTTGCTCTGAAGAAAAACATATCTCCAATGCCTCTTAGCATCCCTATACATCAGAATGTGTGTGTTTTTTGTACGTCTAAGCATTTTTGCACGTGTATGCTTTCATGTGTGTAGGATGTTGGGTCACATTACGGTTTTGCCCTTCTGATTGCTCCCCTAGAGTCTTCATCCTTCTCCCGTTCCACCGTCGACTTCCTCTCCCCATGCGGTCCTGTCCTCACGCTCCACATATATCCAGATGTATGTGCCCTGCAGCATGTAAGGAGAGAGACAGTGGTGTCAATATGCGCAGCAGAGTCACACACAGTGTTAGAGAGTGTGATTAAACCACGGCAACAGTTTGAAACCTCCACATGTTTCCTATATCGGACCGCTGACCCAAGTTCAACTTAAAAACACAATTATAACTGCAGATCTCAGCACACTACCAGCGCTATTTAAAAACAGCTCTTGTTCATGGCGACATGGTATCTAAATCATTCAAACATGCTCACAGATGTGTACACACCATGAACAGTCATTGCTGACGGTGAGGAACTTGTGATCACAAAGTGTGAAGAGAGCGTGTCAGGCCTTGTACCGTATTGAGCAGGTGTGCCGGAGAAAAGCACATCTCCGCACTGACTGGAGGAATCGCTGCTTGTCTCCGTCTGACAGTTCAGTAAGAAAGTGTGGTTGGTTTACATTATTTATATTGAATTCATTATTCTGCCCCGTACCCATCAATAACACATGGGCAACATTTGGTACAGGTTGCTTCTCACGATCCGCTTCTTGACACTCACAGGATGGATATTTTGATATACTGTGTGTAGTTGTTGTGTTCCTGTGTTGGCAGATGATCCATGTGGGTAGTGAGAGTGTTGAGAGAGTGAATGAAGCTTTAGCGTAGCGGAAATTCTATAAATCTTTTTCGACTTTGGTCTTGACATATTAAACATGAAGTATTGGATTTGTTGGCCACACATAACACAGACATATTATCATTTATAAAGTCATCGTGAACATGCTAGCAAACTAAAGGTTAGTTTTGGCCTCTCAACTAACTCCTGAGGGAAATGGCTCTTAAGTCGCCAAATGTTGCACTTTGTCATCATTTTCAGATGTTAAAGGAGCACATTTTATTTGAGGTTCACCCAGGATTAAAAGATCATGCATTTAAAAATCCTAACACCTACTGAAACTACTGAACGTCCCAAACAGGACTCCTACATTTAATTATTTTTAGTTGGTACTTCAAATAAACAAAATAAATCCCTGAGTGCAGTGATGTTATCTGTAGTAACAGGGGCATTGCTTCTGATTATTAGCCAATAAGACCAGAAACCACACAATAGATTTGTTGCTTGAAAGTCAAAAGTCGTTATAGTATTTTCATTTAAACCTGAAATACTTGTTTACGTTGTAATGGTTGTTACTTCAGTTACTACTTAAAATCCACATTGCTCACAATTTAGGCTAAACTTTCAGATCGAACTACACCGCCTGAGTCTGGGAACCAACATACCACAACAAGGCTACATTACACCTAACAAAATTAGGAGTTTTTCCCCTATGAGTCTCATTTGCCACAGATTGGCTCAGAAGGAAGGTAATCTTGTAAAGTTCAATTGGCAGCAGCTGTTATTTATATTTAGGTGCATGGACAAGTGCAAAAGGGTATTTCAGTTTCATTTTAAGACTTGCTGAAGTTAAGATTTATTTTGCAAGACAGAACAGAGAAAAAGTAAAAATGTTGAGCGAATGTTGAAGGCTTAAAAATGATACCATTACAACCAAGAGATTTACACTCTGAGAAACAAACCTTGACAGCAATCTGGGTGAAATAGGCCTCTTGAAGGTTTTCACAAAATGACACACAACGACCCTCCTTAACACACTGCAGACTCTTGGAAGAGAAAAACACATCAGACAGGCAGGCAGAGAGGAGAGGACATAAAACAGCATCTATATATGTTCATGCCCTCTAAGCACCTGTAGGGAAGAAGCGGCATCATAAACCTGACATCTGGTGCACGAACAAGACTGAAATGTCAGAACAGGGGAAAAAAGAAGTGATTGAACGCGAAACCGTAAATGTGAAGTGCAGAAAGGGAGAAAAAGGATGGAGAAGAGAGAGTGAATGCTAAAACTGACATTTGACAAGAAAGTGAGAGAAACCCAGAGAATGCCATTGAGGGTGAGAAGAAGAGATGGAAAGACAGTCTAAGGGGGAAAAAAGATGGAGAGAAAGAGCTTAAGAATCAGATGTTAAAGGAGAAAGAGCGAGGCAAAGAGGGAAAAAAAGAAAAAGTGAGAGGAAGAGAGAGATGGACGTAGAAGGTCCTCCCTTGTCCACTTATCAATGATTCATCATTAGAGAAGGTTTCAGTTTTCTCCTTGTTTGGTGGAGTTACACGTCTCCATCCCTCCCTCTCTCTCTCACTCACATGCACACACAGCTCATCATTGCTGATCAATCGATATGACACCCTCAAGGTCAGCAGAGCTTCATTTTAGGCCAAAGGCACTACAGAGCATGCTCAGCGTACACCACCTCCTCCTCCTCACCCTCTAACTGCTTCCTCTCCCTGCAGAAAAGCAGCCTTTGCCTCCAGCTCTTGAGATTCTCTTACAAACACTGTTCAATAGGCTTGCAGCGGAAGTTGGTTTAAACAGTATTATGCGATATTTGGGCATTCACTGCCTAAACACGGGT